TCGCTTGGAGTGGGCCACTGAGAGGTTGTTGGGTGCGCAAAATATTGGAAATTCAAATAAACAGAGAACAGGCGCGAAAACAGCAGCCGATTCAGCCCCCCCCCCCTTGCCAATACCCATACCAATCCCTACAATCAACAAAACGTGCGACACGTGCAGACTGTCAAATGGCGCTGGATGGCGCCACCCCAGCCCGTAACCGGGGAAAGTCAAATACCCATTCCCGATCCCTCAGACAGTTACCGCCCCTCACAGACAGCCTCCAGCAAACCGCCACCCTCACTCAGACAGCCTTCAGCACCCACTGCCACCTAACAGCCTCTCTCGTACAGCCTCCAGCGGCAGCAGCAGCAGCAGCAGGCCCTCCCCTTATGCCCGCCCATCAATCAATGAGTCTTAGTCGATTTTTGTGGGCAACGTTTAACGGGGCGTATGCGCAATTAATGCGATTTGTACGGCGGAGAGAGGGAGAACACTTTAACAGCTGAGCAAAATTGTTGTAGGAAAAGCTAAGAAACGAGAGCTTTCCATTGAAGAACTCGTGAATTTTATGCTCTAATTGCATTTTGCGAAAGTTTTTTTTATTTTTTTTGTTTTATATTTAAAGCTACAAAAGTCGCCATAATTATCGAGATAATTGCGCACGCATCGTTAATTGAAGTTGAATAATTGCTAGAGAGAGAGAAGGAGAGACAAAGAGAGAGAGAGAGAGAGAGAGAGGGAGACACGCAATGAAGATGAGCGGAAAATGTGAGATAAGTGTGGAAAAGTGTCGATTATAATGAGCCAACTAACCGCAAATTGGTCTAGATTTGGTTGGTAATTATCAAGAACAAAAGAGGGAAACTTAACGAGCAGATTCGAGTATGTACATCCAAAGAGAAAGAGACGGCCAAAGAGGGGAGACTCCCATGGAGAATTAACTTTCACAAATCAAAATATATGTATAATATGTTGGGACACCACACACAAATCATCATCAGGCCTGTCAATGTCCCCAAGAAAATAAACATAAATCAGCCCCACAGCAAATCGAAAGTTTATTCAACTCCAAAAACGAAAGTGAATATGAATATGAATAAGTGTTTTCGGTATGACTATGTATATTATATTATGGCATACATATATCTGATTAAATCAACATCAATAACTCACTTATAGCACTCAATTCATTTAGAAAACCACAGAACACACAAATCCCCCACAGCCAGAACGATTTCAGACAGAACAGAACATTTTCCACATCGCATTCAAAGTTAACCGAATTGTTATTAATTTTATAGGCATTTTGTGCGTGTTTTGCGTGTGCGTGTCGGAACAATCGGAACCTTCCAGACAACCGCGCGCTGAGGTGCCCGCGCTCGTGCCCCTGACCTCAGACTCGGTCTCTAGACAATGACTAAGTGAAGAGTGTATGACAGACAGCCTGGCGGGCAGGCAGGCAGGCAGGCAGGCAGGCAGTAGGACTGTAGGATAGGAGGATGGGAGGCCAGTGAGGCAACAATGCGTAACAAACAGGAAAGCAATAACAATTTGCAATTAGCCAAAACGCGTTGGAGACGCAACTTTATTTTCGACACTGTTGGGGGGAGGACAAGGTCAACGCATCAGCGTAGAAAATTAAAGTAGAAGATGATGATCTGGTTGCCAGCGAGGGTTGAAATTGGAGTCTCTAGAGAATTATTTTAAGCAGGATTGACTGAGGAAAGGCCTAACATAAGAAGAATCAGATTCAGGTTCAAGCAACAAATTAAGTAAATTTTGCTCCTCGATTATGCAAAAGTTTCATTACCAATAAGTCCCATGTCAATCTAATGTAGAAGAAATATTTTGAAATCCAAAGAAAGTATTTTATTAGCTAAAACAATTGCCGAAAAAACTTCAACTCCATTTAAATATGCGCCTTAAATGCCTAAAATATATCTTCCACCTGGGACAACCCTCGCTGACAAATGGTTTTACTTACACTTTCCGCAAGTGCCAGCGAGGCCTCCTTACCCATCGCTCTTCCTGTAGACCGCCACCCCTAGTGCAGCCCATCGCTTCTTAAGCAGTTTAGCATTAATTAAGTTTGAGTTGAAGTCGCAGACATTTGCCGGGAATGGGCTTGTGGATAGATGGGGGGCAGTGGCTGAAGTACTTCATTTAACTGTCTGTCTGCTTACCAAGTGATAAGCTGAACGAGCCGAGCCCACTCTTACCCCCAGTGGGAGCTGAAAGTCTCGCCTAACTAATTGCTGCCTTTTAACACTCGGCCAAATGCGCTGCTCGGAAATTCGCAACGGTGCGGTGTGCATTTCCTGGCCAGACCCCAGACAGCCCAACCCTTAGCTGGATGATTAACTGCATCAGGCATTGGCCCAAAGTGCAGCACTACGGCAGTGGTGTTTGCTTTTATCAGCCATCATCAGTTTTTTGCTTTGTCGCGTTATGCGTCAGCGCACTAAACCAACATTTTTACACCTAAGAGCAGATAAAGAGCAGAGCTTCGGACAGCGGACAAACGGACAAACGGACAATGGACACGTGCACGTACACGTACACGGAGTAGACCCATCGCAAAGTACTGTACGGCTGACTGGCTGGCGGACAGCATTTAACAGTTGATTAGACCACGTCCCCTCGATAGAGCCGTAAGGATGGAAGTGGAAAGTGGAAGCCCCCGCAATAGAGCTGGGTCGGTGGGGGGTGATGAGTGAGTGCCAGTGCCCCCGTCTGGTGGCTCAATCTTCAACGTCTGCTGCTCGCATTTTCGGCCTGAATGGACGCGAGACATGGCTAAGCGTATTACCAGGCCGCATTACCGTTAAGTTTACAGTTTAACTATAAAAGCAAGTGCGAGAGCCGGAGAACGAAGGCGCCCCCACGATCCATTAGCCGATATTACGCATACGCCGCGTGGTGTCCATAAAAAATGCAACGCTGCATTGTTTAGCAAGCAGAAACAGAACACAACGCAACTACAACTACAACAAAAAAAAAAACTCTGCATAAAATACTAGAAAAAAATGCAGCAAAAAAATAATAGAAATGCGAAAGTAGCCGCCAGAGCAAGGATGGTGTGCGGTTGGTTGGTGGGGGGAGGGTGGGCAGGCGTGGCAACATTATTTTTACGTGCCGGCGCATGCAAAGTGCAAAGCTGCCAACTGCATCTGGCTGCTGATGGTGGTGATGATGTTGGATGTTGATGGTAGTGGAGGCGCCCCGCCAAAGCGCAGCTGGTAAATCGCATTTTGACCCCATCCATATTGATGGGCAAACACGGAATGCTTTTTATGATGAACACGAAAATTCATGAATTGCGCTCGTTTTGTTTTTATGGGAAATAGTACATACATACGTATCTGCATATTTGTGGCTGTATGTTTTGGTACGAGAGAATTTATGAATTTGCAAGCGATCAAATTGAAATTTAAGAAGAAACCAACATGTAATATTTGTTTGTTTAAAATGGATTGCACTCACTTTGTTTCCATGTGTTAATTTAATGATATCGAAGCTTCAAACAAATCTAATTTTAGATTATTTTTATCAAGTTATTTGTTTATCATATTAGGAATTTTCTGTAATTCAAACAAAATATCTTATCATTTACGCCCAAAATTAAACGCCTATCTTGTCCAGACATCTACAGTTAACAAATCACCGGGGAAGTCTACCAAATGATTGCTCATTCTTCGGGGAGTGCTCTTTTTTTTCTTCTATGTGTGTGTGTGTGTGTGTGTGTTGGCTTTTAGTCGTCGCAATGCAGCCAAAAGGCGGCTGGAAGGATGGAAGGAACGAAGGCAGAGAAATGGAATTGAAAAGCAATACAAATCCACAAATCAAAATATATCTGAAATGTTTGAGGGGTGGGGACTTGGGGTGTGTGTCGACCTATGGGGCGGCCTGCTGTCGTTTATTCTGTGGCAATGACATGCGACAAAGTTGCAGCTGAAATGGATCCATAGATGGAAATGGAAATGGGAGCTGCACAGACCCGTTCCCCACCATCTATATCTCCCTTTTTCGCTGTATCTAATGACACTAACAGAAACCAGAACCAGTTACCAGAAACAGTATCCGAAAACCGAAACAGAACAGATCCCAGACAATGCAAGATGAAGCTCTGAAGCGGCGGCTGTGAAGCAGTGCCAAGAACCCCAAAAACTTCAACTCCCTTTGTCGTTTGTTCAACCCAGCTCTGCCCCCCCTCTATCACTCTGCCTCTTGGCCAACAGCTGCCAAAAAATGTTTGCTCTAGAGATTTCTACACATTTATTAAAGAGAAATGGAGAGAGAGAGAGATAGCGGGAGAGCGAGAGAGATGGGCACAATGCAGGCCGCCTATGGCTTTTGGGCAGCAAGGGGTGTACGGGTTGGATATTAATCATCGGGCAGACTTAAATTGCAAATGAAATCGGAATTGGGCAACGGTGCGTATGCGTATCGTAGTTGAGTAGTTCGAGAGGGAGAGGCAGACTGTGGAGTGTGGAGAGGGAGAGTGCCCCAAGGGGTGAGGGAAATTGGCAGACTCTGTCAAGCATTTCGTTGGCTGCAGCAAACACACACACACACACACACACACACATACATATATATAGATATGGATATGTATATTCAGAGAGATTCAGAGTCAGAGAGAAAGAGAGATATCCATTAAACAAACACAGTGAAATCGCCGCTGACATAAAGCAGCCATGACTGTCCCCCCAGTCTCCGTCCATGTCCCATCCAGTTCCATCCCATGTCCTGGCCATGTCCTGGCCATGTCCTGGCGTTGTCTCTGTCTCGATGTCGCCTCGCTGGCGCCAACTGTCGACTGCTCTAGCTTTTGCCTTCAAGCTTTACATATACCACACACATATGAATATATATATATGTATATATATATATGTATGTATGTATATATACATCGTACATATCGCACACACATCTATCTGTATGTATCATCAGCATATTGCCATTTGTTGAAGCATTCTTTAAATAATTTTCGCCCATCGCTCTTTTGCTCTTTGCAGGTCCCGCAACCGTTCAAATGGTTTCCCAGAGTCGACCGCCGCCACCGATGACGGTGCCCGTCCAGGTGCCGCAGTACGTCAACGAGAATGGAACTGTGACCCACGTGATGCTGTCGCCGCAGCAGTACCAACAGCTTCATCCCGGACAGGGACACCTACATCCACCTTCATTTGTAAGTAGCTTCGAGTGGGCTCTCTCCCAGCCATGAGAGCTAGCCGTTAAGTGCAATTAACTTGTGTTTTATGACTGCCTGGGAGATGCGCCATAGATCAGGAATGAATAGACTAGAGAAATCCAGATAGGCTTTAAATGAGTCAAAGTGTTTTGTTTGGGTTCTCTCATTGGATACTTTATAATTGATTGGCATGGCAAAAAGTTGTTCCACGCTTTCTAATATATGTATGTATGGGGAGCTACTTAAACTAGTGACCGCATTTTGCTACTGTTTAAGTGAATGTACATCGATATGTATCAGCTAGCATCATTAATTTTCATTAGCACTCAAGAGCTATCAACCTTAAGAGTAATTTATTTGAGCAAACTTCAATGTATTTTCATAAACTTTGTTCAAAAATTGATTATAATTTATGAACGGCTTTCCGAGTACATGCAAACTGTAAGCAAGTTCATACATTTTCAATGACTTGTAAGAGAAGTTTCATAACTTTGTGGAGATTTTTAAAGCTATTCAAAAATGTAATTAAATAGTGGAGCATGAGCATGAGCTGCAGAAGGTGTCTGTCTCTGTTTGCAAAGGATTATTTAAAGAACTATGCAGAATATTCCACCACATTAAATACTTTGTTTCGTGCCATACGAGGTCTGTTGTATTTCTAGTTTGAAAAATTGATGCTCTGATACATTGTTTCCTTTGGCAGCCCATCAAAATGTGCAATATATTGCCCATCTGTCACTGTGTGCTCTCGAATACTATACAGACATCCCATTTCGATTACAAAATTGATTCAAACTTCCTGGGACTTCCACAGTTCTCACAGTTGGCAACGCGAGAGCGCGAGCCCCAGGGCTGCTTATCAATTATTTTACAGCTAATTGAGCGAACAATATTGCAATCAGCGAATGCAACAATAATTCCCCGATGCTAATTCGATTTTCAAGTGAAATTTTCATGGAGGGGGCGAGTCGCGAGTCTCGTCGTCGTCGTCGTCGTCGACGTCTGGTAATATAATTTATTGTGCACCGGATCGGATCCGGGTGAAGTTGTTCCTAGAAAACAATTCAATTGCTGGGTGGGGGCAATCAGGGGCCTGATACAAAAGGAGGAGACTGTTTATGCCAGCTGTTTATTCATTGCGAAACTAAAACCCAACAGAACTGAACTAAACCGAACAATGGAAACAAAAACTCTCCGCAACGAGTTAGACGATCTAAAATGGCTTTAACTTTTAGCTAAATGCCAATTACAAAAAGCAACAACTATTAAAATAAACTTTAAACAAAACAAATAATAAAAAAAAAACAACATTAAATGGAAAAAAAACAGCTGGCAAGCTGTCGGACGACGCGACGCTTTGCATCTATAATTTATTTATTTATTGGTTAGTTAGTTTATAAACTGCAATTCTGCTTTGTTTGCCTGTTTTGTGTGTGTGCTCCTGCATCCATTGTGTTTGTGTTTGCCTTTCTCCATTTCGCTGACTAACTGTGACTTGGAGAATCCCGCGGGGAAAACTACGGAGGAAAAGCGTGAAAATTGCATAACTAATTAGCTGCTCGCATTATTCCAATTGTCGCAGCCTCCGTACGTGAGTCACCCTCCGGCAAATATTTGAATATGCAGTGCCACAAAAATGCACTCACCGTCTCTGCTTGCCGTTCGTTTCGCAAGCTGTCACTTAGGCGTGAGCTTTGACAATCATTTGACTGGGCGGGGAGGGGAGGGGAGGGCGCTACGAAGACGTTTGCTTTGAATGCTAATTGCCGGCGTGGCTACTGGGGCGAGGGGATACGTGACCAGAGGGGCGAACCCGGCGAATGATCGCCAGATGAACAAAGTTTGTTGTTTGCGCGCCAGGGGGTTCATTGGAAGCAAAGTTCGCGTGAGGCATAGTTTCTTCAACTTCAGTTTCTTATCGTTTCGTAGAAAAATGTCTATTTCATTTCAGTTTTTTTTTATAGCTATAGCATGAGGTTGCAATTTTGAAATTATATTCCATTTTTTTGAATTTATTTGAGCATTTTACTGATGAATTTACATTTTTATCAAGCTACAGCTGGGCCTAGCATAAACCTCGAAAAGATTCTTATGAATTCTCACAAAATTATAGACATAATTACAGACGTAATAAAAGATTGAAGCTAATCATTTTCACTAATATCCAATATTTAATTCTTCATTTTTGCTAAAACAATTATCTGAGCAATGCAAAAGCGTTTTCAATAATTGACATATTACACTGCATGTGGTTACATTTATTTCCTCTTGAAATGTTACAAATTGCTGCCATTTTAAATCATTTTTAAATTTAACTTTATTGCACATATTTTTTGCTCCATTACCGTTCGGAACTAGTTCGGCTCCCATGAGAGCGGCCAGCGGCAGAGGCACATGCATTCCATTCAAATTGCCTCGCTAATTTGCAAAATAGCAAAAAAAATAAATATATATATAAAAAAATAGATGGTTGTTAACCAAAGCAGATGAGCGTTACCCATTCACATCACGTTTCGGACCGCTCCTGCCTCTGCTCTGCTCTGTCATCCCCAGAGTCTGCTCTGTCCGCCACTGGCGGGCCACTTATATCTAATAATTTAATAATAACAATTTCATTGTACAACATAAACATTCTCATCATTTCTTTTATGTGCAGAAAGTTGTTAACAAAATTTGATTGAAATATTTTCCATTTGCATTGCTGGAAAAACCCTGGCCGACTGGCCCCTCCGCCCCAGTAGAGAGAGGAAATAGCTCTCTTAATGCCACAAGCTCGTGACTTGGCCCCCATACTGAAATTGGCATTCCGGTTCTGGCTTAGCGCCTAGCGCAATTTATATTCTGTTACCCAACGCTCTCTCCGACAGCACGCCACCAGCCCCCACCCCCCACCTGTCGCGTCCCGTCCCCCTTGATGTTATTTATTATAATATTATCAATCTCTCAATTAAAACTGATATTAATTGCAATTGTGGATTATATAATTTCCAATGATTACCCGCTTTCCGGTTATGCTCTGCAGCAGCAATCGTCTGTCTTCCATAATTGGTTGACACTTTTCGGGGTTGATTTATATTATTTGAGCAGAAATTGCAGACAGTTTTACCCAATGAACATAAATTACGGGAGAAGACAATTAAAACGGCAGTCAGAGCATCAAAAATGCATTAATTATTAGCGGTTAATAAATTGAAAATGTATTTTAGCAACAGAACTCAACGTTGGATTTCCCAGCAGCCAGCTAACTGTTGTGCTGAAGGGGGTGGGGGGTATGGCAGGGTTGCCAACCAACGCGAACTGTCAACCCGAGAAGACAAACGTTTACCTTTAAACATTTTCGATTTGCATAACAATTTGTAGACCCAAGCTAATGGTTGTGGCTGTTGTTTTATCTGGTAAATGCAATCCATTACGAGTAAATGCTGCCCTGGCCCGGCCCGGCCTGGCCTGGCCTGGCCTGGTCGTGCCCGCTGCTGGCAACATTGTTGCACATAGGTTAGGCCGAAACTCCAGACCCCGGACCTCCATACCCCATACCCATTCGCAGCCACTCGATGACTTTTAATTGAACTCCACTTGAGTTGAACTTTTGCTGTCACATTTTTACATAACTTGCCAGTCAGCAGCAGCCGAAGCAGCTGAAGTAGTCTCAGGCTCTGGCTTTGGCTCTCCTAATGCCATTTTGACAGTGGAAAACTTGATTAATGCATGCAGCAGCAGCAGCAGCAGCAGCAGCAGCGCCAACAACTTCATCCGTTGGCTGCCGGTTGTGGTTGGTGGTGCAGCTTCGGACACATGTGGCGTCGTCACGGTTTGTTGCTGAAATGAAAGTGCCCGGCGGTTGCTTGACTCGAGCTGAATTTTCCTTGACTTAATTAACAATTTGCTGCCACAACACACACACACATACACACGAGACACACACACATACGAGACACACTCCACTCACTCGCAGAGATATTCGCAAACAGTGCCGCACAAAATGGCAGTTTCCGCTTGTGTGTTTATGTTGAAATGTTTATAATTTGATTGTATGCTAATTTGCATAGCATAGTCGTATTTGTGGTCGGAGTCTCTGCATCTGCGGAATCCATCCACTGCCATTATGCAACTTGAGCTATGCGCTCGGATAACTGTAACTGTCGCACCATATCCGTGGAGAAGCTCCAAACTGAAACCGAAACTCTGCAGCTCTCTAACTCTGTAACTCCCTCGCCGAATGAGTTTTCATCTCTCATTTTTTGCTTGCAAAAAAACACCACACTTTTTTTCTGTTGTGTGTTAATCCCCCCCCACCGACTTCTTTTGTTCTCTCAGTTATGCCGTTTCCGTTGCTGGCCCGCAAAAAAAAAAAAACCAAATAAAAGAAGAAACTCATTAACTTTGACCTATATTTGTGGCCTGGGCGGCATTATTCATATTTTATGATCATCCATAATAACCGTGCAGCATCGTCCATTTTTGGACCGAACGATAGCCAAGTGCCAACAATTAGGTGCAAAATGCTTTAAAGTCATCTAAAAACATCATTGCACAAGTTTTGCCAATTTTGGACATGCAAAAAAAACCTGAAATTAGCTTGATGTCAGTGAAGCATTTTTCACACAGTTTTGAGCTGAAAAAAAATTATCAATCATCAGGCATCGTGGTGTAATTTTTGCTTAATACAGCATGCGGGCGTGGATAATTGCCGGTGCCCATAAACAGCGAAACCAATTTAGTTAATGATTTGCTGTGGAAATCAGATCACACTGGAATTCCGTTCAAATTTAACTTTCAAACGGGCGCGCCAAACAGAATGCATTGACTAGAAGCTGCTTGCTATGGCACTCCACATGGCACTGCTTGAGTGAATGTTTATAACAGTGACTGAATGGCTAATAAAATGTTAGCATACATTAAACAGTTTCAACCCCATTAAAATGGTTAAGCAACCAATGGCTAATACTAATTTCAAAGGATACAGGTTTTAGTAATTTCCGATCGGCAGAGCACGCTTAGCCCATTGTTGACCAGGGGGTATTTAAATTAACCCACGAATATTAGAAAACTTGAACAATTTTAGCGCAGTTCAGGTGACAGACATCGTAGTAATTTTTTATGATGGTGAAGAAGAAGAATATAATTCACAAACAGTATTGTTTTCAACCATTTAGCTCAATAATTCAACTGTTTAAATACGGGGGGCTAAGAGGGTTAAACTCTTTTTTTCCACGGTATATTTTCGGTATATTTCGGTATATTTCCCCAATAAAATTTAATTAATTAATTTTCGAAAAAACCACCGATTTACGCGATGTGTTGTTGTTGCATTTGTTATTATTCAAATTTCAAACGTTGAACTGATTGTTGGGAACATTTTGCGCCAGTTGTCAAAGATTTTGCCAGCCAATTTCCAATGAAATTTTCGTGTGAGCTGCGCTAGAAAGTTCAGTGCTCACTGCCTCCTGATAACATTTGGCAAATTAATTAGTTATTGTTATCAGCACTCTCTCTCTGCGTACCACGAACCTCGACTGTTATTTATAGCCAACGTGTAGACGTTGACGTGGTAGTTCTAGTTTGCCTGGGAAATGGGGAAAATGGAGCAGCAGCAGCAGCAAAAGAAAACCACCAAAACGACAACCTCGACCACAAGCAGCACCAAAACTGTTGTGTTTAAAGTATTTAACCACTATTTAACCATCAAATTTGATGCACTTGTTAAACATAAACATTGGTGTCCCCCTCCACAGATTAGCGCCAATGGTACATCGCATTTCTATACGCCGGCCATGGCCGGCTATCCACCAGGTCCTGCTGGCAATGGACCACCGCACTATCATCTACCGCCGCCGCCGCCGCCACAGGGTGCACCACAGCAGCCACCGCCCAGTGTGGGAGGCGGAGTTGGACCACAGCCACCTGTGAATGCGGCACAGCAGCAGCAGCAGCCACCGCCAGCAGTCCATACACATTCCCCGCACTCGCCGTCGCCGCCCAACTATCGGGACGAGCGCAGCCAGAGGCAGCATACGAAGCTGCTGCGGAAGCTGGAAAGGCAAAGGGAGTCCAGTGAGTGAATCCTGTCCAAAAAGGAACTGTCTTGAAAGGATTGATCCCCATGCTAAAGTGTTTTTTTGCTTTTAGATCCCGCCTTGTCCACGCCCACACATTCGCCTTCGCTGCGAGGTGTCAACGATCTGAATGGCCATCACACCAACAACAACAACAACAACATTCCGGTGGGTGTACTGCCCCTGCCACCGCACCTCAACAATCACCATCACATGAACAACAACAACAACAACAACAGCAGCCACTTGCACAACAACAACAACAATCATGGACCTCATGATGTGCGTCGCCTCGCCCAGCAGCAGCTGCAACAGCAACAGCAGCAACAGCAACAACAACAACAGCAGCAGCCGCAGAGGAACGGAAATCCCGGAAATGCCACGAAGGGAACAGCCACGCCACTGCCCCAGCGAACGGGCAGCAGTGTGGGTGGCGCAAGTTCGGTGGGCACGTCCGAGGATGGCGAAGACAACTCCAGTTTGGCCGGAGAGGATGAGGAGGACTACCAGTCGACGATTGTGGAGCAAATTTCGGCAATTGAGAAGCCCGAGGTGATTGATGTGACCTCGCGGGCAGCGAAAATCATCTGGGAATCGCCGGTCATCACGGATGCCCTGCTCATCAATATGCGCGATCTGCGCTATCAGGTGCTGCTCAGCGACTCGGGCAAACAGTGCAAATACAAGAGTCTCTATCGGGGCGAGGCATACGAGTGCATTGTGCAGGATCTGCAGCCGGGACAGGACTATCTGGTGCGACTGCAGGTGCACTACCAGAAGCTGCAGGGCACGGTCAGCGAGCCGACAGAGTTCCGCACCCCGGCCTGTGAGCCGGACCAGCCTTTGCCACCCAAACTGGTGTCGCGCACCAAGAGCTCCATCAATCTGCGCTGGGCAGCACCGCCTGCGAACGGAGCGACCATTCAGCACTATCTGCTGGAGTACGACGAGGGCAAGGGCCAACCCATCAAGTTCGTGGAGCTGGCCAAGATCAAGGCCAAGCACTATGTGATCAGCAAGCTGCAGCCCACGACTGTCTACAGCTTCCGGCTGGCCGCCGTCAACGAGGTGGGCCAGTCCCTGTACTCGCCCATCAGCAGCTACAGCACCGCCGGCAATCCGCCGGCCGCGCCCAAGCCCCCCCAGCTGCACTCGAGCAGCCCCAGTACGCTGAAGCTGTTCTGGGAGAGGCGCACCCAGGACGGGGACTTTCTGCTGCAGCTGCAGGATGCTGATTCCGGACACGGCTACCTGAACACCTACAAGGGTACCGATCTCCACTACGAGTGCCTGCAGCTGCGTCGGGCGTGCAGCTACCAGTTCCGTCTGAGGTCCGAGAACGAGGCCGGCGTCTCGCCCTGGTCGCCAGAGGTTAGCTACCGAACGGCCGCCGAGCGTCCGGGCAGGCCGGGCAAGCCGAGTGCCAAGGGCAAGATCCATGGCACCCACTTTAAGGCGCGCTGGGACACGCCCGCGGACACTGGTGGAGCGAGCATCCTTCGCTACCATCTGGAACTGAGTTCGGGCCCTGTGTTCGAGCGCATCTACAGCGGCTCCGAGTCCGAGGCCATGTGCGAGCGCCTCCAGCCGGGCACCACCTATCAGCTGCGTGCCTGTTGCGAGGGTCCCGCCGGTCAGAGTCCCTACTCGGACATCGGACATGTCACCACAGAGGCTGTGGCCCCAGCGGCCCCTCCTCCACCGTACTCCAGTGACCCGCCCTCGCCGTATGCAGCGCTGCTGAAGCTCCATCAGCCAGACTACAATGGCGGCGCCCCCATACTGGAGTTTGAGGTGCAAATGCGCCGCTTGGAGCAAGTGCAGCCACCCCACATCGTGTACAGAGGCAAGCAGGCGTACTTTGTGGCCCAGGATCTGGTGCCTGGCGGCGCCTACGAGGTGCAGGTGCGGGCCATCAATCGCATCGGAGCCGGCAACTGGTCCCAGTGGATGAAATTCACCGCAGCAGCAGCCGCGCCTGGTGTGCCCGAGGAGCTGCGCGTGCTGGTCAAGTCGGCCACCCATTTGAGTGTCAGCTGGCAGGCGCCGCTCCAGGACAACGGCGCCCCAGTCACCAACTACATCCTGAAAAGTGCCAGCCAAGAGAAGCGCAGCGAGGAGCTGGAGCAGGAGCCCCTGCGAGAGCCGCCCAGCACGGACTTCCACAACTGCTACCAGGGAGCGGTGATGTGTGCCGAACTGAGGAACCTGGCGCCCTTCACACGCTACTTCTTCCGCATTCTGGCCAGCAATGCCGCCGGCTCTGGCGCCGCCTCGGATGTGGTGTGCGTGAGCACGCCGGCCGCCGTGCCCGGCGCACCCCAAATGCAGGGCTACGAGTTCACCGCCCAAGAGGTGACCCTCAACTGGACCCAGCCGGCGGCGCATGGCTCGCCCATCTGCTCGTACAACATCGAGTATGGCGAGCGGACCATTGCCACGCCGGATGCGTGCACTCGGTACACGGTGACGGGTCTGATGCCCGAGACCAGCTACAAGTTCCGCGTGCAGGCCGTCAACGCCATCGGAGCCGGAGCGTTCAGTGCCTATGCGAAGTTGACCACGCAGCCGGCGCCACCAGCTCCGCCGCGCCTCGAGTGCAGCGGCGCGGGCCACAACTACATCAAGCTGAAGTGGGGCGAGGGTGGACCCGCCGGCAAGACCAATGGAGGAGCTGCGGCCGGCGGTGGCGCTGACTTCACCAAGTACTTTGTGGAGATGTATGTGACGCGAGCGAAGCAGTTCCAGGCCGTCTACTCCGGCACCAATTGCATGTGCAAGGTGCACAAGCTGCAGGAGCGCAGCAGCTACACCTTCCGCATCTACGCGCACACGGACAGGGCTGGCGACGGGGACTACTCCGAGGATTACGTGTTCGAGACGAGTGCCACGCTGCCGGCCAACATCAAGCCGCCGCGCGTCGTGCACGAGAATAGTGTGTGCCTGATGGACGTGCCCGGACAGTTGGGCATGCAGCTGACCCTCGAGTGGCAGCACTCGAAGAACTCCTTCCACGACCGCGTCGAGTACGAGCTGCAGTACGCGGTCCTGGGCGCCGCCGAACTGGAAACGGAGTCGCCCAAGGGGCGCAGCAGCAGTTCCAGTGGCAGTGCGAGCGGCGCTCCCCTCAATCTGGCCAACCAGGACTACCGTCAGCTGTACCGTGGGCCCGAGACCAAGTTCACCATTGACAATCTGGCAGCGGGCACTTGCTACCAGTTCCGTGTGTGTCCCGTGCGGATAGCGTCCGGCGGAGAGCTGCTCTATGGCCAGCCGTCAAGTCCGTTGCGGTATCAGGTGCCCAGCGAGCTGGACCCCAGTTCGGCCACCTGCCACCACCACCTGCACGGCTCCACGTCCCCCAATACGGCCACACACTCGCAGCGCAGCAGCAGGAAGCTATCGGCGGGCAATGGCTCCACCAATGGCCTGCACCTGAGGTCCGTGAGTGCCTCGGCCATCAGTGGCAGCAGCGGCGTGGGCGCCGATCCCCTGGCCATTGGCCGGCTGCAGCAGGAGCTGTCGAACTTCAATGCATGCGGCGATCCACTGCACCATCATCATCATCACCACCACCATCACCATCAGCCGTGTGGCGGGGATGGCAACGCATCGTCCGGCTCCTCCACGGCGGGCTCCAGCTGCGCCGGCTCCAATCTCCTTCTGCGCGGCAACCACATGCATCACCAGCACCATATGCATCACTCCCATCACATGCACCATGCCCATCATCCGCACGGCGGCGGCGGCGGTGGCGGTGGCGTTGTCGGTGCCATCACCGGAAGCTCCTCTACGGCCATCTCCGCCAGACTGGCCAGCCAGGGCGGCACACTGCGTCGCTTTGCGGCCAAGATGACGTCGCTGTACAGCAACCGGAAGCGGCTGAGTGACCAGCAGAAGGCCGTCTGCATTGTGGTTTCATTCCTGTTCGTCACCATTTTAGCGGCGATGCTGGTCAACATGCTGCGCGGCTAAAGTGGCTCTGCAACTGTAAGCATGCAAATCGAAGGAAAAAGTAAGAAAAATGAGGGCAAAAAAACGAAGAAAACAAAAACAAATGCACTTTATGTCTCAAAGAAGTGATTCAAAACAATTAGTTGTAATTATGTATTTTTTATATAAACAAAAACAAAACAAAAACAAAAAATCAAAAGAAATCAAATTGTAAATTGTCTAATTTTAAACAAACAAAAAAAAAAAAACAAAAACCAGCAAAATAAGAACAGGAAAACCTAAAAGAAAAACCACACACAATAAAAACTGTACACAAAAAAAGAAAACGAAGTGGGAAAAAAGGAGTAAAACTAATACATTCACACCACGTCTAAATGTTTGTAAAATGTTACAATAATGGTATTTACTTACGAGTATATGTAATATTTGTTGTTGCTAAAATCATTGTCACAAAAACGAAACAAAAGAATAATCTCCATATGTGCTATATATAAAGAATTTTGTAAACAGCCCTTGTCAAAAAACAACCTGTGCCGAAATGCTTCTCAAACTGTTACTTTTATGCGCATAGCAGGCAGCTTTGGCAAGAGACACACATTTGCATTTGCTCTGCATGTAAAATACGTGTAAAACAAGCATTTGGAGGCGTGCCCCCAGCCAGCCCCCAAAATACTTATACATTCTTAAACGACATCCGAATTTTGATGATTAATTTTTAATGATTTTTATAAACATAGGAATGTAAATAATAAATAGTTCAAGCTAAAACCACAAAAAAATGAACTCTATGAGAAGGAGGAAAAAAGATAGAAAAGAGCAAATGCAAAACGATTTAAAAAAACGAAATATATGAATTTATTAGACTACCAGCAAACAAGTATTTCCGTGCTGTACAATTGTTTCCCCAATCGCTCCAATTTACATACATACACACACATGTATACACACTTGCATAGATATATAAATGTATATGTAAACAGCAGACGCTTTTTTTCATTCTCACAAAAAAAAATTTTTATACGAATTATTACACAATTTATTATGATAAACATTAAATACATATTGAAAGGACAACCACAAGATGAGAAATGAGAAAAATAAAAAATAATAATAAAAAAAGGGAGAACCAAGGCAAAATCCCCAGTTGGGTCTGCTATCTTGTGGCTAATTGTTGCATTTTTCACAACCGACTAAAACAAATTGAATCCAAAATATTTTTGTAGGCTTGTCCACTGCTATAGCAGTCCCAACTGGGGAAAATGAGAAAAAAAAAACAAATTAAAACGAAAAAATTATTTAGTATATATGTATGAATATATATGAAATTTATAGCCTAATTAATGCAACGCAAAGTGATTTATATTCCAATTATTATTATTTTTCTAATTAAATAAATTAAAATAAATGTAATTGTTTCTTTCCATAGCATTTAATGTGAATTATACAAAAACGGAATCTTATCTACAAAAAAACAAAAAATCACAACAAAAATCCCAAAAAAAAGAAAACAAAAAACAAATGTTTGTTCATGTAAAAAATAAACATTTGCTAGATGCAAATTAAAAAAAACAAAAACAAAAACAAACCAGATATACATATATATATATATATATATAAATAAATAAACTTAAATCGGAATCAAATGATAAATAAATGGAAATTATGTAATGTTTCTATGTTTACAACGGTAAATGGTTAAAATATATATTATATATGTGTGTATTAACGAAAAATACAACAATATACATGTATATTATTTTGTTTTTTACATAAATAAAACAACAACAAAAATGATTAATAAGGGACAAATGCGGAAAAAACTGATGCCGAAAAAATATTTCTAATTATATACCTATGTGTCGATTTATTTGTTTATCTTATATAAATGACGCAACATTACAACAACAAAAATAAATGAAACAACAACAAAATATATATACATATATATAAAATTTATTTGCAAATATATATATATGAAACATTTAAAATAAATGCGATATACAAATAATAATCAAGAAACTTGTGTTGTTAATGATCGGAAGTGGGTTTTGCCTTGGATTGCCATAGAAGAGCTAATGAACTCACACTTGGAGCGCAGATAAGCAGCATCTCAGAGATTAAAAGTTGTAAAGCTCGCTTACACGCTAAAAACCATGCCTAAATCTTAATTTTTTCTTGCAGTCTGATATCTATGAAGGAAGGATTGTTAAATAATGCTAAAACTATTTCATCCGGATCCGCAGTTTGAGTCTGCACAACAGTTTTTGCGCATCATATAGCTTAGATAAGTTGGGGGAGTCGCCAATTATGATGCTGTGGTAGCTCTTCCCTAACTTTGTAGACTGCGTTCAAATATGGCCTCTACAAGTTCCAAATTCAGTATCTTATCGATTAGACTTCTGGGTCACCATCATTTCCTAAAGTTCTTTGGACTATCTGACAATTGAGACTTAGTAAACCAACGTTAAAAATGAGGTTTACCTGACACTCAAAGGATATAGGCTACGCCTATTTCATTACATTTTTTTAGGATAGATTTTTAGAAAGATTTTTTTTTGAGAGGCCATGACTTGATCAAAGTAGGGACAATTTCTGGTTGATATATCTGGCTATAATTGCTAAACCATTTGTATTCCCAAAAAATGTTTGTAATGCCTATGAAACAATTCCACCAACCATTATTAAAAAGGATAATATTTAGTAATTGTTTTTATTTTCGTTTAGATACTTTGTATTATTTTTATTTTGTCCGTGCAAATAACAATTTTATTTGTATTTATTCTAACACTGGTTTTTCGTATTCTGTTCTTTTCTGTTCGGTTCGCCTGCCTGCAATTGTTCGTTTGAAGCAACAGAGATATGTACTTGGGATGCATTGCATTGCTATTGTACGACATACATATTTCGGTTGATTCATTGCATCGAATGATATAAAATGTTCTACGACATTGTATTCGCTATTGTATTCGTTGATATTCCATATATGTATGTATTTAATGTATTGTTCGTGTGGGTGTGGGTGTGTGGGTGTTTGTCTACTTTAACTACTTTAACGCAAAAAATCATCTAAAAATTTGGATTATTCGTATTTGTTTTTAATTTGTAATATTTGTTTAGTCTATATTTAGGTATAGTATAGGTAATTGTATATTATACTTGTATGCTATGCTAAAATCGTTGTGTGTGTGTAGATTATGGATATGGGCATATCATAGTCCGGATATCCGGATATATTTTATATCCATAAAATGCAAACACTTTAGTAGTACTGTACTGCAATTTCGATTATTGTTTTGCTGTGTTTTTGTTTTGTTTTTTTTTTTTGGTTAAAATCGGTGTATAAAATTTGTGGTACATATCTTGATTTATTTACTTTACTTTGCTTTGCTTTGCTTTGCTTTGCTTGCTTGAACAATGACAAATCCTTGGCTTCAAATCCATTCTATCAAATCAACAAATACACAGCGCGCGCTTCCCTCAGTTCCGAGTACAATACGGTAATTCAATGTTCATCCAAAACTTATGTGTATCAAAAAATATGTTTCATGCTAAGGCAACGGTTCAACATCGATATGGGATAGTTTTTGTATTAGTTTAATTCGTATTTTGTTGTATTTGTATTTTGGTGTTTGGTAAAGGGCTTTATCTGGGCATCATTTCGAGTGGCTTTGTTTTGCTTTGTTTCCTGTAAAGGTTTCTCTATAAAGCGATCATATGATATGTGTGTGTGTGTGGTGTGCTGGAGAGAGTACTGCTAGAGTTTCAGGTGATGATTTAGGTGTAGTGTTGCATAGCAGCACTGACAAGTAGTGTTGGAACACGGTTATTGAGTAGGAGAATACTTTGAACTTCTGTGAGTGTGGGAGAGGTAAGTGTAGTGCTGCATGAAAAGTATTCTTGGTTAACAGTTACAGAGTAGTTGGTAGTTAGTATGCGGCTGAAACCCAGCTATAGAGAGTGTTCGCTTTCTTATTCGTTATTTGGTAAGTGTGATTTCTATGTCCTATATCCGTGGTGAGGTAATTTAAGATCTAGGCTGTGTTGGTTTATGTTTTATTTGGTTAGTTTAGCGCCGTATCCATCGCTGCCTCTAGGTATCTGCATATCAGGTGCGCTATCTAAGTTAGCTAGCTGCTATATCTTCTTTGGTATCTCTCTGACAATCATCCACTCAATTCGCTGAGTATTTTCGCCGTGGTGCTCCCTCAGCCAACGGCTCCCATGGTGGAGACACAGCTGGTGCTGATCAGTGGCTCCCTTGAGTTGACCGACGTATTGGATGGATCAATGGACAGCGTAAATGTGGACGTCTCCACCGAATCATGCTGGCTCTGGGTCTGCTCGTGTCGTCGCGGCTTCACCAATTGGGCGGGATCCTTGTGCTGTACGCCGCCCTCGGCAGTGGCTGCCGGATAGCTGGACACACGCTTGAGGGTCTGACAAAGATCTTCCATTAGTTATGGGTTTCGAGGATCTATTGCCAAATGCCAACAAACCTTATCGTTCAATAGCTCTGCTGCAGCCGTGGCAGCTGCCACCGATTCGGTGACAGGGCAAATGTTCTTGCTGGAGGAGAACTTTTTGCGCTTACGCTTCAGCGCAGCAATGGCAGTAAGACCTGGTAGGAGAGAGAGGAGACCATGAGTAGCGAGGCAGGGGCATTGGCTTGCCATCTAAAGATTCACCCACCGCTGGTTGTGTGAAAGAAATGTGAGCCCACGCCCACATGCGTGGGTGTCGGATGGCTCGAGGCAGTGGGCGTTGCTGTGGCTGTGGCTTTGGCTGCTCCACCCGGCGGCGTGGACTCTCCATGGTAGCCAGCATAGCCTGCATGCTGCGGTGAGTTCTGGGCATAAGTGACCCGCAGCTGGCCATGCACTGGTGTGGCATTATTTGAGGTATTGCAAACCGAATCCTCGGACTTGGAGCGTCCCAGCATTTTGCTCACATTGCCCACCTTGGCTGCTTCGATGAGGGTGCCTAAAAGAAAACAATTTGCCAATTAACTAAGGCTCCATTTTGGCAGATAAAGCTAGACCCCACCCCATCGCTTCTTGTGTCCAGCTATGCGCTTGTTGTACGGCTTCAGTGCGGACTTATTGTACTTGGTGACGGGCCCACTTGGCGTCGTCACCGCCGCCGTGCCCTGTGTGGGTGAGGTGGGTGATTCGGCGCCGCCGCAGCCCGCCTGCTGGCTCTGCTGTCGCTTGTGCATAAAGTTGGGCGTGAAGAGCGTGGAAATGGTTGAGCTCAGTATCTCGTGCTGGTTGTCATAGTTGTCCAACGATGTGGAAAACTCGGCCACCGGCGCCAGGGAACCCGTTGAGCCCGGTGGCGCAATATTGAAGCCCTTCATCAGGCGCCGCTCCTTCTGGCGATTCTTTTTGCCACCGCCTCCTGGTGGAGAAAACTCTTAGAGAAAGACGCGATATTCTAATTAACAGTTTCCTGGGCTTACCACCACCTTGTCCGGCCGTTACATTCGTGTCCATGCCACTGTTCTTGAGTATCTCGACCAGCTCACAGCGGAAGGCGGATATATCCTGTTTGATCTCGTTCACATCGTCCTCGGTGACGCCCTGGGACTCGGCCTTTCGCTGCTCCACCGTCACATAGCGACGCACCAGATTGCGCATAATCTGCTGGTACTTAAAGTCCCGATCGCTCGCCTGTTGTGCCTTGCGCTGTGTGGGATTCAGGGATAGATTTAAAGCCTCTTTTTTGTATGCAAGCCACCCACCCGTATCGTCTTCAGATGCTCTCTACGCGCTGCTGAGGAGCCACTGCAGAACACACGGCGCATCCACTTGCAGGCATACCAAATGGACTTTGGTGTGGGTATAATATTGAATGGCGGTGGACATGTGCCGCCCTCCTCGAAGTAGCTAATCCACAGCTTTGAGCGTGCAAATTTCCACTCCACATCGGCACGTTCCTACGCCATAAAGAGAACAACTTTAATACCTAACAACGGTTCATCTCTGTTTCTGTTACCCACCGAAATCAGTTGATACGAATGATTCATCATGGCTATGAGCAGGTTGAGCAGCACAACAATATTGATCACCGAATAGGTGCCGAACATAAGCATGCCCCAAAAGCGTGTGAAGATCTTTATGCCATCCAACTCGAAGCTGTCCAAATCGATCAGACCAAACACAGCCCAGAAGAGCGTTTGAGTGGTCTCAAATAAACTGAAAGTAGGGAGTTATATACCTAATCGAATAGTTTACTAATTAAGTAGATGCTGAGACACTCACTTGGAGAATCTACGCCACACAATG